CATAAACACATTTCATTACACCAAATACACAAAATAATGTTCTTTTTAGCAACATCATATGACCCCTTTAAGATAGTTAGTGCTGATTTGCTTCTAAGTGAGCTGGCAGGCTTATAGACTGGCATAATATATTTCAAATATTCTGTAGTCATACAATAAATTTAGACAGAGATTTAAAGGGATAGTTTACCCAAAAATGAAAATTCTGTCATTAATTCCTCACCTTTGTGTTGTTCCAAACCCGTTAGACCTTCTTTCATCTCTGGAACACAAGTTAAGATATTTTTGATGAAATCCGAGAGCTTTCTGACCCTGCATAGACAGCAAAGCAACTACCACATTCAAGGCCCAGAAAGTTAGTAAAGACATTGTTAAAATAGTCCATGTGACATCAGTGGTTCAACCTTAATTTTATGTGTCATTAATTACTCACCCTCATGTCGTTCCAAACCCGTAAGACATTCATTCATCTGCGTAACACAAATTAAGATATTTTTTGATGAAATCCGAAAGCTTTCTGACCCTGCATAGACAGCAACAGAACTACCACGTTCAAGGCCCAGACAAGTAGTAAGGACATCGTTAAAATAGTCCATGTGATATCAGTGGTTCAACCGTAATTTTTATGAAGCTACGAGAATACTTTTTTATGTGCAAAGAAAACAAAAATAACGACTTTATTCAACCATTTCTTCTCTTCCCTCTCAGTCTTTGGCGCGCGTTCACGAGAGTACCACGACACATTTTAACAATGTCCTTACTACCTTTCTGGGCCTTGAACGTGGTAGTTACGTTGCTATCTATGCAGGGTCAGAAAGCGCTCGGATTTCATCAAAAATATCTTAATTTGTGTTCATTATTTTCCCACCTCTACTAGATTTTTTTGAATAGAGTCTCATTCCATTCTATGACCATCTCCTGCTCTTTTGCTCACACTTACAGGGCAGACAGCACCATCTGAACGTGAACACTGGCTTGGAAGGAAAATGGTGTAGTCTGGTTCCTGTGGGCAGCCCTTGTCTAACCACCACTTCTGGGCTTAAATGGAACTTGGGTGAGTCGCGCGCCTGTAGGCCACAGGTCTGTCCACCCACTCAAACACCTAAACACACACACACGGACATCCCAGAGGACCGTCTCCCAGTCTGCACCATCCACTGTGCTCTATTTACATGGCCTGTCCTAGTTAGGAGACATTCATTACCCCTGACAGCTCAAATCTCCAGCAAACTCCCACTAATGTTACAGTTGATGCAGTTTGTCAGGCCTAGATTTAGAAAGGGCTCACATTTACATCATTGGGTTTTAGCTTCTCAATAGCATTTGCTTTTCGAATTGTTCATTTTGTTTCATAAAATAAAAACACTATTTCCTCTAGGAATTGCCCATTGAGAGGAAGGCTCTCAGATTAAACAAAAGAAAATAAACAAACAGTTTTGAGGACATTGGTTTTGTACTGTGTACCAGATATACTGCACTGTGCAATCCATCTTCACTTCAATGCTAGACAGTTTTTGCTTCCTTTTTAAATTATATAAAGGAACATGGAGGTTTTTATGCTTTTCTGATATTAAATGTGAAGTTTGTAATTGCTGCATGATCAAGATCACCAAAATCTTCCATTGTTCTGACAAACAAATTGTTTGAAGAAACTACACACTTCACCTTTAAGGATCAACTTCACCTTTTCTTTAAAAATGAATCAAACTTTGGTCATCTAAATGCTTGTCTTTAGTGGTTATGAAGGGTTGTAGCTCTGAGTGGGTGAAAGTGGGCCGTCTCCTACGTGCATTAAATGTTAAATGTGTGCCAAACGACTGCTCTGACTGAAGACATTAGAAGGAATAGTAATGTAGCCCAACTGTTTGCCTTTGATCTGCTAATGCGAGCTGTCAACGAGAATAATCTCCAACAAGTTTTCTGCGGAGGCCGGGGCTCATCGTGAAAAAGCAAGCGCCCCTCCTCCTGTTAAATCCTGCAGAGGGCACAGGGGGTGTTGTTGCATTGGGACTGAAGTGACAGATACATGACTGAAAAGTTTAGCTTTATTGTGTCAGCGGCCTGCCGCTTTTGCAAAAGGAGGATTTTCTGCCCGATTGTGATGGCTCTGGACTATGACCTTTGACCTTGACTTTAAAACAAACAGCTTTAATAAGCTCAGTGGTGTAGGGGTTTTGAAGAAGTTGGCGTACTGTGAATGTGAACTATAACTGGTCTGTAGAAATCATGGGCCTGTATGATAAGTTTAGATTCACATTGTTTTTATGTGATACAACCAACATAGGCTTACTGAAAAATGTGTCTATATCTACATTTTTGCAAAACTATGCAAACATACCTGTACAATTTACTGCAGTTGCACTTTCAGTTTTAATTGCATTTCATTGCACAATATTTTATGACCTCAAAACACTTTTACTGTAGTACATGATTTGTAAACCAATACATTTTGACATTTGCATCACATAACCAGCTCCATATGTATGGCTTTTCTGACATAGTAAACTTGCTCAGTGGCTCACCTGGTACAGAATTGCACTTGTGATGAGGAGCACTCAGTACGAGTCCTGTGAAACAAAAGATATAATAAAACTGTTCAAAACTTTCAAATCCATTTTAGTGGAAGCAAACTAAAATGGCATAGTTGCTTCAGCAAATGCGTTTTTTCTTTTATCTTTATGTTTGCTTTTTAACACTATCAGTCGATTAGGTTTATGGCAGGGTTTAGTCTAGGTGGAACAATATTTTCAAACGCAATAAAGTATTAACCTTTTAGCGCCACTCACTGAATGTGTAATTTTTCAGCAACTAACATCATAAAATTGTGCCAAATTCATATTCAATTGTTTCAGATGAAATGGAACATGCTTTTCGCACCACTCACTTTGGAAACAACAAGCAATGTAATATAATTTTGGAGAAATGTCACCACAGACACGTTTTTTGAATATAATGGTTAAATGCTTACATTTGCATTTAAGTTTGATTATATTATTATATGGGTAATTTTTTTTAACTATACATAAATAATACATAATTATATGATAAGAATTAAAATTATATATAAATATTATTAATATCAATAGTGTGAACAATTAAATTATCTGTATTATTTAATAAATGAACATCACAAACATAAATATATCTATCAACAAAATGGTTATAGGTATTTTTAAATTAGTAAAAAATAAAAAAAAATTCTGACTGTTCTATAAATAGGTGACATTTTCAAAGTGAAATTTCTAGAAGCTGCGTGACAGCCCCATATGCACTATTAAAAAGAACAAGTAATGAACACACAAATTATACAACATGCATATTTGTCGCATCTCTTGGTGCTGTGTTTATTAGTCTTGTTTTGTCTCATTACACTTAGCTTTGCCCAGACTCCCTTGAGTTTTGAGTGTGATAATGAGAGAAACATTTTCTGAGAGATAAACTACCAGTAATCACTTTTGTAATTTCCTGTATGAGTTTGAATAATGCTGCCTTTGGGGGTTTAGAAATATCGAGTACAATGGAGACCAGTTTCTGGGTAGGTCCTATTTTTATTTTATTTATTTTTTTTTGTAATAGTAAATATAATAGAAATGTATCACAGCAGACTATTTCTTTTCATTTTAGCTGATTATTTGTTTTTGAAAATCCAGTTTTAGTCGCTCACTCTGGATAATGCATTTATAAACTACAGGAATGAGCTTTGTTGAACAGCTTTATCAAACATATAACTCTTTCTAAGAAGTATTGCGATGATGATGATGCAAACATATGCCTTTTATATATTGAAACTGTTTTCTTTTTTTAATATGTTTTAAAATGTGACTTCCTGGCATGGCAAGAAACATTTGTCATTATAATAATCATTTCTAAGTATTATCAATGTTTTAAAAAAACAGTTGTTCTGCTTGCTTAATATTTTTGTGGAAACCATGATACATTTTTTCAGGATTATTAGATGAATAGAAAGTTTCAATAATAACTTTTAATAACTTTTGATCAATTGAATGTGTCCTTGCTAAATAAAAAGTATTAATCTCTTTCAAATTATTAATTTATTAAATAATAATTAATAATTAAATTAATTATTAATTATTATTATTAATTATTTTCAAAATATATATATATGTATTTAATTTCCTATTTTGTAAAAACTCAATTCACTTAAAACATTTGACTCTTCTCACCCCTTTCTTCTCTCAGTCAGTCTTAATTGTTCTCAATATTTTATGGATTATTCACAACCACAGAAGTGTTTACATATTAGTGAATGTTTCCAGATAACAAGTGCAGAAGTGTGAGTTCATCTTCTCACAATAGCCTAAGGTTGATGTACAGTTAAGTTCTGTGTAAGAGAATTCCACATGTTTAGACTGGAGTTACTCCATTCAGTGCCTCCTCTTGGGAAAAAGACCTGCCAAGACACTTAACCTTAACCAACTTACCACCAGCAGCTAGATGACACTTATAACCCTCATAAACAGTGCTCATAAACACACACACACACACACACACACATAAGGCATGGCAGATGTGTGTACATTGAGAAGAGTTCCAGAGTATGTGTTTATAAAACCTTTGGGAATATATTAATGAATGCATAACAGGAAAAAATGCCAGGGTGAGGTAATCATGATGGGCTGCCAAGGAAAGCACCGCAACTCCTGGCTTGTGTTCATGTATTACAGTTATTTGAGATAACAAGCCACGAAATGTTCAGCTACACTAAGGGCATGACTACTGTTTTCTCTGAAAGCGTTGACCTGCTCCTACTCAAACTGAAAACTGAGACTTACAGTGTTACATTTGGTGTTGAATGTAGAATTAAAAGGCTGTTGACCTCAATGCTCAGTCCATGAGAAAGACAAATTAATTAATTTAGCCATTAACCATATTTTCTTCTTTAATAATTAATGCATTTATGATTTGTAAATATTAAATAGTAATATTTACCTAGTTGTGTTTTTGTTCTTGCAAAATAATTGCATAAGAGTCTCCATTTAGTGGATTTTCTGAAAAGATTTTGTAAACTTAGTTTTTGGAAAGTTTGTTTGCTGTCTATTAAGACTAATTACTATGAATTTCATATTGTTGCAACTTCTATGAGCTTTGTGGCTAGGGAAATACACAAGCCCTTGTGATTTAAATAATTTAATTTGTGTTTTAGCTCAAAGCATGGTGACTTATGGGGACGTGTAAATAATTGCTAATTAGAATTCATAACTGCATTAGTTCTATTTAGTGCTTTTAATAAAGTCTCTTCTAAGTTGTGTTTAGTGATTAACATTCACTTGTAGTGTTCTAACATAGCTGTTGCTCTCTATACTGCTACTTGATGAAAAAAGTAACTTCTTGTTGGAAAAACTGCAGAAGAGAAAGTGTACTAAAAACATGTAAAGTTTGTAGCATCACTAGTTTTAATTAGTCCCCAACACCGTACCGCTTCTGTATGCTAATCTTATTCTTTGCTGTTACTGCTTTCTTTCGTTGACATTGCTTGTTTGCACTTGAATTTGATTTGATTTGTTGAATTTGCGCAATTTTGGGGAGAAAAACATCAACACCCTAAACATAAAATAATTTTTGAGTTGTCTACAAATAGGACACTCATAACCAGTGTTGGGGTTAACGCATTACAAGTTACGCGAGTTACGTAATCAGATTACTTTTTCAAGTAACTAGTAAAGTAACACGTTACTTTAAAAATTAAAGAAAATATCTGAGTTACTTTTTCAAATAAGTAACTCAAGTTACTTTGTTTTCCGATTTATTCATTGACAGCTCTTCTGTCCCCATGTTGAGAGAAATGTGGAATAAGTTGCAGAGGTACTTCCTTTAGACTGAGGCTTATTAATTTCACTTTTGGTGTGAAAGGGTATGGTGGCCCAGTAGTGCACAACACAATGAAATCGCCTCAACACAACGCATACGACTAATTTCTTTGTGCTGCACTAATTTCTTTTTTTTTTTTTTTTTGTTGTGTTGTGTCTGGTTTCCATTGTGTTACGTTCATTTCGTTGTGTGGTGGCTTGTTTTTATTGTGTTGTGGCTTCATTT